GCTGAACCACTTCAGTTCAGCCCCTTTATGCTTGAGGTTGTGAAGATCAAGGTGCAACAACAGGTAGTCAACATTCAAGTCTCAGCATGTTTGTCACAGGCCCCAGAGGGCTGGCTTCATGGTGTTGCCTGCTCTGGGGTGAGGCCACTTCATCGCCGTGCTGGAGCCTGGTGATGAGATGCTGTTATCGGGAGCAGGGTGTCTGCAAAAGGATGCACTTGGTGCACTTAGCCTTTACTTGGGCTGTGAATAGGGTTGTGGGGAAACACATCTGGCACCTGAGCTGCCCCAGGGCATCTGGGATCTCATCCTCTTTCTCTCTCAGTGATGTGGTTTGGGAAGGATTCAGTCACTCAGGTCTATTTGTAGCTTCTCTGCCTGTGCTTGCTTCCATGCCCTTCTCACGCCCCCTGAGACTGGGCTAGGTGCCCGTCTAACCCTCCTTGGAGAAGGGACGCTCTCACAGCAAAGCAATTATTTCAAATGCCAGCAAGAACAGCCACACTACAGGCCCCCAGCCTGTACATTTTGTTTTTTTTTTTTTCTTCCCTGACAAACAGGTGCTCTTTGCCCACAGACCTCTCTTACTGCCCTGGGCAGTTTGCAGTAGCACAGCAGTTCCAGTGCTCGGTGTGCACTGTTGCACTGCCCACATTTTGTGCCTGCTGTCCTGCTCTTGTCCGTATTTCGGCTAAAGTGAATCACTTGGAGAAGAGCTGAAGACATGATGATCTGGAGAAGCCCCTAGTTCCCAGGGCAGTGAGTTGGTCGCCCGCACTAACCCACGTCCCCTGGAGCAGGTGCCAGGCTGTGCAATGAGTGCCTGCCTACTGCTGCCGGCACACTTGCTCTCTTTCAAGTAGCTGAAGAGTTTTTTGGCAACTGGTGTTTCTCCAGCTGGACAGACCTGCGAACTGACATGCAGTCACTTCTCACTCATCGGCTTGGTGTCTCATTGTAAGGTGTTTTCTCCAGCCCTAAATCCTCTCTGTGCCTTGTTACTGCTGCATGCTCCAGCCCTGCCTGAATCTCGGGCTCCATCTGGCCAGGGCTTTTCTGCTTTCAGCAGATGTAAAACTGCCTCCCTTCTGCTGCATTAACAGTGCTTTGCCATGTGTGCTCATTGCTCCTCTTACCTGATTGCTGCTTGACTGACTACGTGGGATGGTTTCATATTTTTCTGCTGCTTGAGGCTCAGCAGAGCAAAGTTCTGGAGGCTCCCAGGCTGTGAGGGACCAGTTCTCCCTCACTTCTGCTGGTATAAATCAGAGGCATCAAGGATACAATGAGGCAAGGAGGCTTGCTCCTGCTCTGTGGGTGAGCCAGTGCCTTTGCTACCCCATCCCAGCTCATTCCCACAGCAGGCGGCTCAGGGCTTGTGCCATGGCTGTGCCAGGTGTCCCCATGGTGGTCATTGCTGGGGCATCAAGCACCAGTGACAACCATCCTGGACTCAGCTCCAAGCTCTTCCAGCTCTCTAGCAGGTCCGATGGATCTTGCTGGGGCCGCGAACCCCAGCCTGGCCCATGTGCTCACCGCTGCCTTTGCAATGGAGCCTTTTCCAAGGTACAGTTTATTGAAGCCAGATGCTCCCTTCCCAGAGAAACCTGGAGTGATGGGAGGAGAAGGAGAGGGTGGGGTTCCCAAAATTCCTGGTTTGCTCTGCAGCTGCATGCCGTGGGGACCATGACATTATCCTCCCCATTACATAAAGATGCAGCTGCATCTGGCGGATGTCCACATCATTTTTCTCCCCCATGCTCTGTGAGGAGCAGCTGTCAAGAATCAGACCAGGCCTGACTGGTCCTTTGAAAAGTGCACGCAGAGTGAGGATAGGGCTGCCCAGGAAGCATGCCCCGCAGAGCATGGCCCTGGGTGATGGCCCAGGGGTCCCTTTAGGCCCAAAGGGTTTCCTCACAAGACTTCCCTGCTGCCACAGTTCAGATACTGCCCTGCATGAGCAGCACCCAGGTCCCTGGATGCCTGGGCGAGGACTTTTCCTACAAGCGCAGTGAGCATGACGTGGAGCAAAGGGATGAATCCTGGGTGTCAGACATGCTCGCAGCTGGCCATGGATGCTGGTGTGGTGGAGGTGCACCCCTCCTTCTGCTGGGCCATCAGGACAGCTCTGATCACTCCTAAGAGAGGGGCTCCCTTTGGTGCACCGAGCAGTGCTGTGCACGCAGGTGTGCACAGGCAAGTAACATTAGGGTGGAAATGGGTGCATTAGCAGCGAGTGTGCCTGCCTGAAGGAGAGGCTGTAGCCACCTCCCAGCTAGAGATCAAAATCCATCTGCTTGATGATGCCATTTAGCTGCTATGCCTCAATTTCTCCAGCTGTAAAAAAGGGCTGGGTATGCTGACCATGGCAGGAAAGCCTAGGCTTCTCCACACCTAGGTAATTTGAACAACTGAGTGATTTTCCTTCATTTATTTACTGAACCGGTGCTCTCTCACTAACCTAGAGAAGTCCGGCTCTGCCAGGCCATTGGCAGGAGGTGCCAGATCGGACCTTGCTTGGGGCAACCAGCAGCTTTGGAAGCAGCACAGCATTTTCTCAGGTGTTTGCATAGCCCACATGGAGCTCAATCCTGTGCTCCCGCAGATACAGAGACCAGGCAGCGAGGACACGCGGGCCAGAGCCCGGAGCAGCGAGCCCCTGCTGCCCTGCAGCTGCCTGCGGGGCATGGGCCCTGGCCTCCTACTCTGGTCGGACCCTCCCTCCACAGCCTGGGGAAGGTTTCTGTCATCATATAGATCTCTGTGAGCAGATACGTTTGATTTCTTTTGACTGCTGAAACCATTTAGTCTCCAGCCCTTGAATGAAGCCTGTGAGGTGTCTACAAGTCCAAGGAGAGTCCGTTAAAACCTGGGCAATTCTGCGACGGAAGAGATCAAATGAAACCCTAATCCAGTCGCTCCCTTATTAAACGTGTGTGATAATTGTGCGGGATGATTCCCACCCCCATGCCGTTAAGCACCCCTCGATGGTAAAATAATTATTTGTATTTAGCACTGTGGATCCTCTGGGAGTGCTGCTGATAAGGAAAAGCTGAAGAGACGCACAGGATAAGTCCTTTCATGAGGAAATGACTCACACGGCGGGGAAAGGCCGAGCACACTCTGGCAGTGCAGGGCGCGCAGAGGGTTTTACCCCAACGCACGGTGCGGGGGAAAGCACGGGGGATACCATTGCTGCAGGGCAGTGAACTGCGCGGCACAGGCTTCGGGCTAGCGTACCTCACTCCTAGCCTCCTTTTTCCACCTGGAAATAAGCCCCTGGCACAATTT